TGGAGAGACGATCAGACGGCGAGACGCGAGACGGGAGAAAGGAGAAAGGCGAAAGGATGGCCGCGGTGCCCAAGGACACTTTCACGCGGAGTTTGGGAATATGCGGCCAGCCAAGGCCGGCTTCCAGTCAGCTGATAATCGAGTTGTCTTAACTCTGGGTATAAAGGGACTCTAGTTGTAACATTCACTACACCGGCTCGACTTGAACCCAAGGCCCAAGGTCAAACTCGGAAGGCCGCAGCCTGTGTAGGTACCATAAACCTGTCAAAGCGGCGCAACAAGCGGATGACATGGGTTCTTCCGCCCTCTGGCCTATCAGCAACCCTCGATACCGAGATTCTGCCCTATTGTCTCTCACCTACCTAAATCTGACCCTCAGACTTTAAAGATAGCAAGAATACAATTTTTTTCATTATTTCACAAACCTTATTACAGTTTACATTTTTGGATTCACGGTGAAATTTTGAGCAAAATGGAGGTCAAACTAATGAAAATACATGATTCTACGGTACACTAAGCTCCATATCACTACTGCTGCATTTACAACTTGTTGAATGCTATTTCCGTTACGTATCAACATATCACGAAGAAATTTAGTTCATTTTAATATACTTTTTTAGCAAAATGTAAATTTACTAAGAAAGTTGAAATCGAACGCGAACTGAGAAATTTCATCGAGTTTTTTTGGAGCTCCATTTGGTCGAGAAGAGAGGGAGAAAAGGGTGACTAATTGAGAATGAGATATTTTGGGACCGCCTTTACACTGCCAGCTGCACGGCCCATGACGGCCCACGCTTTGACAAGATTTTCTCGAGTCTCAAAACATGATTCTCCGACCAGATAGTTTAGTGGCGTCCAAACGCGTCGAGTTAATGCTCTTATTGTATCTTCATCTACTTTGCAAAAAGCCGACAAAAACCTCACTTCTGCCGCGCTAAGGAAAAATGCCGTTTGAGCCTACAGGCGTTGCCATATTTTCTTCAATAACTAAGGAATTCACTGGAAAATTCTGGATATTTTTGTTCCAATTTTACAGACAATTTTGTTCCCAATTTAATCTAAAATATCGGAAAATTTTGAGGAAAAATACGCGTAACTTTCTTCAAAAATACATGTTTTATTTGGGGAAATTCGGCAACTTTCGAATGTTCATACGGCGTTTTTCCTTAGCACCGCGCGCAGACTTGAAGGCATAGTTTTGAAATTCACTAGGAGAGGCATCCAAGCGTCCTCATTGTTACTGCGTTGGAGTTCAGTCAAAACAGTTCGCAAAAAGCCGAAAATCGCCTCATTTTAAAGGCAGTGTTTGTTGAAAAACACGACTTACTCTTGTGAGTTGCTCATATTCGGATTCAGATTATTTTTCTGCGTTAATTGATGAATAGAAACCTTATGTTACAATTCGATCCGGGAATCCCCTCCCCTCTTTCCTTGTTCCTTTCCTGGACTATGAGGAGTCCCACCGGGACCAACGTCTGGTGCCTCCACTCCTAAAACCCCCATTTTCTCCACGCTCACTTTTCGTATTTTTACTTTTAGTCAGTATATGCTCATCGACCCTTCCAGCTGGTCATAGTTGATCTTTTCCACTCTTCATTTTAGTTTTCAACTGTTTGACCCTTCTGGTAACAAAGTGTGTCGAATAAAATCTTGACGTAACTTGCCTGTAAGTTCTGCAACCATCAAAGCAGCGACCAAACTAATTCTGATGGATTGAAATGTCGACTCGACTCCCCTGAAAAATCTGCAACCCACGGTTTTTCAACACATCTGTGGTGTCAGCGAGAGAAGGATGGAATGATACATTCTTCATTCCTCTTGAGCCCCCAATTAATGAAGCGAGACGACCTTTTTTCGACCGCCTACTGTGATCCTTGTTTTCGAGTTCGCCTCCACTCACTCCGATTCTACCTGCCTATAAGCAGGTAGATTTTCGAAAGGCCTCCTTCCAACATTATCCTCCTAATTAGCCTTCTTTTAGCTCAGAAAGTAGCCTGCTAATAGCATTGGAACCTTCCAATGTTCACCGGCGAATAGCCTGCTATTAGGTCAGATAGTAGCACCTTTTGCTGCAAGGGTTAGTGAGTTTTTGGACTACTGCTCTCTTTTTGAGCCGTAGTATCTAGATTTATTTTGCGAGGAAAGCTCCGTACTTTTGATGGATGCCTGCCATTACTAATATATTAGAGCGCCTTCAGTCTCTAATGATACTGTGCAATACCTCTGGCTCGTGTGAAATAGTCGCTTCAAGCGCCGTGGCACGCCGCGCCGCGGCAGGCGGGCAGCTAGCGCGAAACGCGCATTGGCGCCTACAAACCTAACAGGGATACTTCACGCGTTGCGCAATGCGTGAAGTATCCCTGTTAGGTTTGTAGGCGCCAGTGCGTCGCCGCTCCGCTTTGTGTTAGGCTCTAATATTTAATCTGGCGGACTCAGCGTTATTCAACTCATGATTTTGAAATGTTTGCACATCCTGTATGGATCATTCTCATTTTAATTGATGAAAACAAATATGTATTAAAGGAAAATATAATGCGAGTTTTGTAAATATTAAGGTGGTTCCGTATCTAACTCAATGATTTCCGAAGCACACGAATTTCTACACAACTTCTTATAGCCTTTTATAATCGATGGCGAAAAAGCAACAGCCAGGCGATAAAGTGTAAAGCCCGGCGATAGGAACTATAGCCTGGCTGTGTAATTTTTTATCGCTTCGTATAGCCCGGCCGTATGATTTTCTCTGCATTTTACAGCCAGCTATATGATTTTCTGTAGCTTTCTTCAGTCGGCTATAAAAATTCCTATGATATTTTGAAACGCAGCTCTTATCGCCAATTTTTACCAGGGATCTCAATCCTTTAACTACAGAAAAAGTGTGCCGCTCTCTGATTGGTCGGCTATCATGGAGCCCCAAATATTGTATGTAAACAAGCCCCGGCCCCTCCGCTCCGAGTTTGGCCCAATTTAAACAAACAAGATGGCAACTAAGTTCTAGACATGGTTTTGGATGTGATAGAATATTTTTATTTTCCTCTACGGGAAACGACGAATTGTGGTCCCAACATTTTCGGAGGGGGGCAGTCCTCTGAAGGGGACCCCCTGTCCCCCCTCCTACCACTCCCATGCGTCTCCCGACGACGCGACGATCACATTTATTTTATTCTGAATTTTAACATTCGAGCGACTGGACACACCATGACCGCAACGAAGGAGCAAGGAGAAGTTGTCCTCTGGTCCAGCGTCGTGGGCCCTACGCGCTGAAGCCGAAACGACCTTAATCTCTCTCATCTAGATTCACTCTAGAAACTTCCGCCGGAGATAGTTGATTAGCGGCGTTTAGATTCAAGTTTCACAACGACAAAAGCACCCGAGAGGTTTCGCCGTGCGTTGGCATGTTAATTGTTGCGGTTGGCCTGTCTGCGCCCATGGAATACAACCGAAAATGTATAAAAACCGCAACCGAGCTCTGCAGATACGAGGAAAAAATCCGAGACTTCGTACCCACCGACGCACAGTGGTTCCAGTGTTCCCCTAAGGCCGCGACTTAGAAGGCTCATATGCTTGAACTTTGCCCACACTCTGCCATGTCCATGAAGTGTCGTCTCGCATATAGTTGGAAAGAATCCTAATGGAAACTGTTGGTAGTTATGTTATGTCCAAATGTTTCGTATCTTTACAGATCTTGACGTAGAGATCACGGGGAAATTCCAGTTTATTTGGTCCGTTTACGTGGTGAAGCCGCTGAGCTGAGAGCCACACCAAACTATTTTCACCAGTCAAAGACGCCTTCAGACTCGTGCGATACTTCACCGCCCCCACCGGAGTTATAATATTTGTATCAGAGACATTGTGCTTCTTGAGACAACTTCCTCCTATGGGGTCTTTCAATCGCTAGTCGAAAATTCATGAAGTGTCTCGCATTTAATTTAGTCGAGAAAACCTTTATGCGACCTATTTGCCTATTAAGCAAATGTTCATGTAATTTTTTCGTTTCGTAACTGATTCTGGCTTAAGTTATATAAATGCAACGTTGCAACATTTTAACCACTTAACAACTGTCTTCAGATATTTATCGACGAGTATGAGGGTTTTTTATTTTATTTTATTTTATTTTAATTCTAAGTATTTGAATCAAATCACGAAAAAAATTCACCGCAAATAAAGTGAGGAAATCAGTAAATGTTCGTCAGTACGTGAATAAATAAATGAATCAACACGCAACACTTGGCAACGTTGGATTGCCATGAATATCAGCATTTTCTAGGGTAGCGCCACAACACGTCAGGAAGGCGGATTATGATTCTCCCTCCTTTAGGGTGGAACTAAAAACTTTTTGCAAGGAGATAGAAGAGCGCACTACACTACCGTGCCGAGGAAGAACGCCGTATGAACCTTCAGGCGTTGCCAAATTTCTTTGGATAAACACGAATTTCCTAGTAAACTCGTGAATATTTTTCTTCCGAATTTCAGGTATGTCACCGAAAAGTCCTAAAAATTTCAAGGGAAAATATTCATACCTTCCCTAAAAAATGATCATTTTATTGATGGAAATTCGGCAACTCTCAAATGTTCATACGGCGTTCTTCCTCAGCACGGCAGTACAGCCGATCACTTTACCAGGGGCACATGAAGACATCCCGACGAGGAGGGGGAATGTTGTCCTGTTCAACCCCAACTATTTGTTATGAGTTTACCGGACAATATGACGGCCAATTTTTTGAAGACTGGAGGGCTTGTGAGTTAAACTTTTCCGCTTGAGCACCTCACGATCCATGTTCTCAAAACTTCATATCTGGACTTACTGCCCTTTATATTCTCTACAGCCGGCCCCCACCCACGCGATCCTCATTGTTTTGACTCATTTGACGGCAAAGCGCCCCCCCCCTCCATCCACCACCCGCAAGACCGGTCACGCGCCGCAGTCCAACCACTGTGCGGAGTGGCGCCAGGTGGCGCCGCGCCGTGGCGGCCGACCAGTGAATGTTTTGGTTTGACGAAGCGTTTTTAGGTTAGTTGATCGCGAAGTTCTCGTGGATGTGGTCGGTGGGAGCTCCACTCATTTCTTTACGCAAAATTAGGTGCTTTCCCCAAGTGTCATTTGTTTTTGCCGTCAGCAGTGGTTTTATGTGTTGTTCTCATATTCTCCCGTGTGTTCGAAAAGTTGGATCGCTCAAATGTGGTGGCGGAGTAATGAGAAAAGGCACTTGCCGATCGCTGAAGGTATGTAAACATTCAATTCAACTAAGTATTCATGATCGCGAGCTTTCGGAATTCCTTGCAGTTAAGTATCTGCTTCTCCGGATTCTTGCTATGATAACAGATTCGCGATTTATCTGGAATGTCCATTAGTCAAATGGAGACGACGGCATAATTGCGCTTGCCACTTGCACTTTGGCATAGGGGGATGATTTTATCATACTCCAAGTATTAACACAGCTTGTACCCTCCACTATTCTACATTTTTTCTCAAAACCTACCCTGAGATAGACTCCACCCAAAATCATCAAGTTGTATGTACCTCAATTTTTTCATACATTGCCTTGCATTCTTTTATCCTTGATGCCCCTCAAATGATAAGGAGTCAGTCTCTTAAGCAAAGCATCACTCTACGTACCTAAGTATCTCAAATTTTGTTCGCTAATGGAAAAAGCAATAGAACTCATTTAAGGTAGGTGTAGCTTTCTTTTAAAAATTTGCCTCCTGCTGCGGCTGCTCACAGTTTAACTAAAATCACTCTCACAGCTCCAAGATTTTAGCTCATATCTCATGGCACAGATGAGCCAAATCAAAGTACGACTTAAGGACAGGTCAAAGGGCTCTGTCCTCCATGAGTTCCATTCCTTCATCTGCTTCAGGTCAGTAATTCAAATTTACGATGTTGAAATCATGTCCGACTGATTTACTGTAACGGAAAGATATTGAATAACTGCAAGCAACATGAATTATGTTTATGAGATTTTAAAAAAGGAGTACCCTAACAACCTTCAACCAAGAAATGACTTGACAACTAAGGGCTGAAAGAGAAATTCAAAAGAGCTCAATGTGTCATTTGAAGGAGAAAATGGGGCAGAATAGAGGGAACTCGTTTGTCAGGAAGAGGGAGAGAAATCAACCCAATTATTTTCCATATGATTGTGTTGATTTCTGTACTGGATGGTTTTTAAGCTGGAGCCTTAAAGCAGATTTCAGCGTCTATGGTGAGGAAACAGTGAGAGATATTCAAAACATAGTATTTTTGAAGGTCAAGTATGCCCTCTATATGTACCTACAGGAAGCAGGGACAACACTGGAAACATCTTTTCAACCGTGTCAATATTTCTGTCCCACAATGTTGACACTGCGTATCGAGTCAAAACGTTTTGTAGAACTTTTGGCTGGACGTTGTTTCTTTCCAAAACAACTCCAGCTCCTCTCCATCTCTTGAAGCTATTTCAGGATTTAATTGAAATTTTTACCAATTGATGTGATGCTTTTGCTTTCCTTTTGAAATTCCTTTTGAAATTGGGACGACTGACTTACTATAGTGTTTGCCACTTTGCAAGACATTCAATATTTTTTGCTTAAATTTCAACAGTTGCAACGGCAATTTAAATTGCCAGTCTTTCACCTTTTGTGTCCCAAACCATTATGTTTTAAAGTGAGAAACTTTAAAAACGGGCGTTATTTGGGGAAGACCCTG